GAAAAAATCGGATTTCTTAAAGCCCTTTGTGATCTGAATTCAACTCGGAATTCAATGATATAGTACTTTGTGGTGTTGCCAGTGAGTACAGAGCAAACAGCTACAAAGCGACTACTACGGTCCTCAAGCATTCGCGTTTTGGTGTTCAAGGCGACCAGTACGGCCATATGGAGAGAGATTCGCGTTGTTTGTCGATGGGATGACTAGTTCCGAAATTTACGGAAATTTCAAAGTTCGTGGATAAAGTTAGGGTGTTATTTGATGAAAGCGCGCAAGGTATCTAAATAAAAGTTTTACCTTTTGTGTTAAAAGTGCACAATACAGTTTGGTTAAATTCTTGCAGTAATTAGGACATTTTTGTACAAAGATATTATTTTAAATCAAGGAGAAATAAGAGTTCTATTGACACAATCGACTTTAAAATGTTAATCGGACGGTCGTATCCTGTAACAAAATGGAAATTATTCAGTTTTAAACGAAAATAGTCTCAATGCATTCAATTACGGTAAAAAATTTTATTGTCAAGCTTTCCCATTTGTAACAGATCAATTGATAACTGTATTCCCCAAATTTTGTACTAGTTAAACAGTTGCAACCAGTAAAAGAAATTTCCTGGTCAGTGAGAACAATAACATTGCCCAACATTGCGTTACCTTCAAAATTTTACCCGGGATCTACAATATCAAGGAGAGTTTAAAGACAGCAACAGTTCTCAATATTCAAGCCATCCGAAGTGTGATAATCGTAAAGACGTTTCCCAAACCAAAATCATGCATCAGGAATGTGATGAACAGAAAAGGTATTGTGACCATTTATATCCATTGTAATTTTTTTAGTTGGATCCGTTTGGTAAAGTAAATTATAAGAAATAAATCATTCTCCTTCATTGTTGCCATTTAATAAAGGGTATAAAATTTTGAGTGTTTTTGTGTTTTTGGCGGCCCGTGTGGCGTAGTTCACTTAAAGCCGGACTGTGGTGCTAAGGGTCCCTGGTTCGAATCCGGGTTTGGGCATGGATATTTGTAAATGTCTAGTGGGTTGGGTTGGTAGACCAGCCTTGCCTGAACCCCCCCCCCCCGCCCACTTGACTTGACATGCGATTTAATGAGTACCTATTGACAAGGAGGTAATTTTCTTGGAAATTTAATTTCTCTTAATTTAATAAAACTTCCTTGTGGAAAGATCATTTGTATTAATGGTATGTAATATAGGGATTTGTAATAGTGAATTCGTTTGAAATACGGGCATAATGTTAGGCGATTCACCTTTTCAAATGACCCAGGAAAACGGTACCTAGACTCACGGTCCGAATATTGGCAGGAATGGCAGGTTCCGATGAAAGAAGAGGACCGCGATAAGAAGGCTTTCACGTCACCTTTCGGAAATTTGTGGTAGTAGAATTTGAAGGAATTAGAATTAGAAGATCCAGGTTTGGCAACAATTGCATTGGCTTTAGAGGCTACTGATGACCTTGTCAACACTGATATTTGGTCAGAACTCGGCTATCTGATGGTTACTTTCTCTTCCGATAGTGAAGACCAAGGGACTCAACAAGTTACGAAGTCGCAGAATCCCAAACTCCTAATAACAGATCACTTTTACGTAACGATTCGTCCAATGGGAGTGCTGCAATTTTTGTAGTACATGAAATATTTAAGTTTCTTTATTTGATTATGTTTCCAGGGTTCACAAGCTACCTTTTTAGGGTATACCATCCCCCATTTTCTCACAGGTTCGTCTATTGTAAATGCTGTAATGTTTGTGGGACTTCAGACATTTTTGTTTCCTTGTTTGATACCATCCAGAAGGTTCACAAGCCACCTTTTAAGTTCACTAAAAGTACACTAAAGTATATACCACTCGCTTCTTATTATTTATCAACACTTTTTTCAAACACGAATTAGGTTGCTTTTTAATAGCAAAACTTGTTGGCGCCGAAACGTCTTCACCGCGAAAGATCTTTGGACACAACTTCCTACTGCCGATGTGGTTCGTGGATTACGAGGAATGAAATGTATTTGATGATATTGTAGTTGAGTCACACCATTTATACAGCACGAAGGAATGTTTGAGAAAATTTTTGAGTGGTTTAAGATTGTTTAACTTCTTTTGCACAGTTCATTTTGATACCTATGCATTACGGTTTCACATAAACAGGCTGACTGCCCGAAAAAAATTTCGTGTCGTCGTGAAAGAAAAAAGAACCGTCTTCTCGTTGTTTTCAGTATTTAAAGAAACACCACTTTAGGTCATACCAGTACTAGTGAAGGGCTAAAAGCGAGTAGAAAGAAAACAATTTAAAAAGTCATTATGCAAACACAAATGACGAGAGCGTATTTTTCTCCTGATAATATTAATGCTAGGACCGGAAAAAATACCGGTAGGCACAAAATCCTTATCCCATTCTCTTTCAAATGAGCCGCCTATCGGCGAAGTCTAATACAGTTTAATGAAAAATAGTGGATCGTATATAAATACAAACAAATTTTGAAATGGGCATTAATTTTACTTTTATTTTAAGTGTTTATATATTAAACTTTTTTTAATGCCTTTGTAAATAGCATTGCGCATTGTCTACATTACAACTTTCATGGAATACCTTCATAAATAAAACATACAGTATGCGTAAACAGTCATTTTGAAACCGGTATTAGTTTAGTTTCATTGCCTACATGTGATATTAATAATTTAACTGCTTTCATAAATAGGAAAGTAGTAATCGCGCATGCGCAAATCCAAATTTTAAAACTGGTGTTAGATTTGCTTGTATTCCAAGTGCCTATGTATTAAATTTCATTTAAATGTGCCCGTAAATAAGGAAGTTGGCATTGCGCCTGGGCAAAACCAAATTTTGCGACTGGAATTAGATGTATCTTTATTCCAAATTCCTATGTATAAAATTTCATTTCCCAAATCGGTTCAATGGTATAGAAGGGTTACGTGTGACGGACAGACGGACGGACGGATGGACGACAAAGTGCAGCCAATAGCGATTTTTCACTTTGAGGAAAATATGCTAATAAAAGCACTGAAGACTTATCCCGTACCAAAAGAATATGAAAGCGTTTGTCGGGTTAACAGCATATTACCATAAATTTATTAGAGATTATTCTCATAGACTAATTTATTAAACAAGACCAACAAGAATCAGTCCTCCAAATATCTTGAATATTATTTGACTAATTATTGGGGATTTCTGGAATAACTAAAGTGCAATTAATAGGTAATATAAGGAAAATTCATTTTACTTGAATTTGTTTTTCAGTGTTTGATTTTCTTTTTAAAAATTTATGGATGCGTAATTTTTTCATTTCAATCTTATTACTCTATTTATATAAGGTGTTACACTTCAGACACATCTGTTCAATGTCGTTGTCGATGTGTGTATATAAAAGGTTTTTTTTGGCCGTTGCGATAAGAAAGGTTTTTTTATCAGGCGAAACCTATTGAAGTCTAAATTGGGATTGAGGACGGAGGAGATTTTTGTTGTGGTGGAAGTGGTGTTTCCTTAAATACTGAAAACAACGAGAAGACGGGTCTTTTTTTTCACGACGACACGAAATTTTTTTCGGGCAGTCAGCCTGTTTATGTGAAAACGTAATTCGTAGGTATCAAAATAAAATGTGCAGAAGAAGTTAAGCAATCCTAATAAAATATTTTAGTTATTACCTCGTCAAGGTGCAGTAGTAAAAGTTCGTGGGGGTTTTTAAACCAGTTTTCTTAGTACGAGTGTTGAGTCAAACAAGCAGTTTTCGTTTAGAGCGAAGCTTCTGATTAAGGTTTGTTCTACCATCCGAAAAGCCACAAAATTTTGTCATCTAAATAAACAATTAGTTCGAGTCTTTGAGTTCAGTGTACTAGAAAAGCAAGTGAACTTTCCTGAAGCTGTCAACGAGTTTTTGTGTCAGTTCTAAGTGCGCCAGAATATCGCAAAGTTGTTACTACCAGATCATTGGATTATAAAAAAACTGTAAATAGTTAAGATTTTTTATTTAATTGTCCATCGAACGCCGGCATGCAAGATATGTGTAACTGGCTCTATAAGCCTCTCTTTCTTTCAGCGTCTTGTTTAACTGTTTTTCGGAATAAATTTTTGGCTTTGTAATTTAAACTGTGTGTTTAATCGAACTCAAAGTGCGTACAATATTTTCTCATCAAATTCCTGTCAAGATTCTATTATGATTCTATTTAAAATTGAATTAGGTCGAAAAATCTAGCGTGGTGTTGCTGGAAAAAAAAGGATTGCCAATTATTATTTTTAATGCGCAACGCATTGATTTTAATAAGATATTAATTTTCGATATAAATAATTCTCTGTACTTGTGCGTAATTAAAGTTCACTAAACTAAAGACGTGAAGTTAACTAATAGTGTGCAACCTGAAAATACACAACAGATTCCCTAAAATTAACTTTTCGGTGTCTTTAGTCCTTATTTCAAAAAATCCAAATTTAAGGAGCATTTCATATTACTTTTTGGCAAACAGTCTTTTCCCCCTGTTTCGACACCGGCGAGTCCGAAAATGCCTGTTGCCAAAACGAAATCTCGACTAGAACTGAGGTATTTAAAATGGCGACCAATTGGTTTTTTTTTAATTGGGCATTATTATGGTACCCATCAGTGACATGGAAACGTGACGTATATGTCTAAGTACACTTTTTTAAATCATAGATAACTCAAAAAAGACACCCTACTCTTCGAATATCCATTCTGCACGAGTACTTGTTCCTTATTGGCCACAGTAGAAACCGCACTTTAATGAGTCAGTGGTATGATGCTTCTAATTTTTTTAAGTATGTGGAAATGCCAAAAGCAGTGCTGGATTCCAAGGTATGCCAAAAATGGAACAAGACCGGTTGCCAAGAAGTGAGCTAAAATTTGAACAAACGGACTTTTTGGAATATTTAACTACCAAACATTAACATGAGCAACGATAAGTTTATCGAAAGGTCGAGGTTACGAAGCATTGAACTGTTGATTACTTCACCAAATTCACAAACTGATCAGTGTTTCTGAAGCTATAATTCCTTGTATGTCAACATGAAGCACGCATTTTTTTCAATCTCTTTCTTCGCGTTTTGTGCGTGCGCGTTCAGTTTGCCGCAGAGCTCCAGGTCACATGTCCATGGTAATTGAGTGGTACCTACTCTTTCAGTGTAACTCATCCAATTCTAGGTAAAAACAATAGTGAATATGTGAACTCGAAAACCAAAGAGGGGGATACAGCGTTACATTTGTCGATAAAGAGGGGTTACCACAACATAACCAGGCTACTATTGGAGAGAGGTGCAAATGTCAACTCCAAAGATCAAGATGGATATACCCCAGTTCATAAAGCGACACTATTCAACTATCCTAACATTATGCGGTTGCTGATCCGGCGAAAGGCGGATGTCAACATACCCAACGCCAACGGCTACACGCCTCTTCTGACCGCAGTGTCCAACGAATATTTGGAGGCTGTTCAAATTTTAGTGGAAAATAACGCAACTATAAGTAGCAATAACGACACCAGCCTAAACCCATTGGCCGCGGCGATCAGACAGGACAGTGTCGCGATTCTAAGGCTGTTTTTTGCAAAAGGCGTAAAAGCCAACGACAAAGTTGCGGGCGCACCGCTACTGCAATTAGCTGTAATTAACGCAGCAGCAGATGCGACTAAATTTCTCTTGGAAAATGGTGCCGATTATACGTTTAAAACTGAAGATGGCGAAACTTTGCTGTATTTGGCCATATATAACGACTTTACAAACCTTGCCGAGCTAATATTGACTGTAACAACTCCATCTCCTTCAAATGATCTACATGAGCAAGTAAAAATTCAATGAAATTGTTAATTCGCTAAAAATTATTTTTGTAGAGATTCATATAAATTGTAACGCAGAATGTGTGTTTATTTAAGAAATTAGGTACGTTTGTTTTTCTTCGGCTGTTTCTTTTGTTATTGTAGCTTTTGATTTAAATTCCGGCGGAGAAGGTTTTTCCAGTTCGTTTTCCGATTACTTACAAAATGTAATGTTTTTGTAACTAAATCATCATTTTCTACACAAGGGGTTGTTTTGGTAGCTGCGGTGAGCTTTTCTTTTTGATATGCGTAGTCCATATCAAATTCCTACGTATTTTATTAATTGTTGAGAAACTCGCAATTATAATAATAATAATAATAATAACGTTTATTGCGTACAGAAAATATACACAAAAGGAGGAAATTCGGTAAAAACCGTTCTTCCATTTCCCCTTAAAATAAAAGTTTACATTTTCTCGTTCCTAAATTGCGGAGGTATATAACTACAATAAGTAGGTAGGTATACATCTAAAATATAAATCATACAAAAAGTGTAACATGGTTAATTGAAAAATAACAGTATGCAAAAACAAAAATTGAACTACAAAAATTAATCCTCATAATAATAATAATAATAATAATAACTACATTTCCTTCCAGGTGAGATTTCTAACGAATTCTTTACTGAATTTTTTGAAAGTCGACGGTGGCATTTCAATTTTACTTAATACTAAATTTAAGAGATATGATGCTAAATACTCAAACGACCCTTCATATTTTACGGTTGCATGTTGTGGAAGTGTAAAGCTATTTATTCTTATATTAATATTGTGCATTTCTGATCTTATTAACAAATTATATAAGTATGGTGGTTCTTGAGTATGATAAATCTTATGTAATATGACTAAGCTTAAGTAAGTAATTCTTTCAAACATGGTATGTTCATTAAGCATAACCAAAAAAGGTGTAACGTGGTGACGATAAGGTATATTACAAACAAACCTCATGCATGCGTTCTGAATCCTTTGGATTTTATTTTTGCTGTATGCATATGAGAAGTAGTAGTAAACCGTACAGCAATAGTCTACGTGGGGATAAACTAGCGCCTTGACAAGTTTAAGTTTAGTATCCTGTGAAAGCTTATCTTTAAGATGGTATAAAGACTTCAATTTAAAAAAAGTAATTTTATAAACCTGATCGACATGCTTATCAAAACTTAATCTACTGTCCATGATTACACCTAAATTTTTTATGCATTCTGTCCAGCGAATGTAGATACCATCCATTGACAAGCTACTATTGCAGATTAAGCTTCTCTGCTGTTGTGAGCCTATACACACAGCTACGGTTTTAGTTGCATTTAGCCTTAGTCCATTCCTTGTACACCACTTTGAGACACTATCCAAATCCGCATTTAATAACTTTATTGTTCCTTCGATATCTCGCACTGAGCATGACTTATATATTTGTATGTCATCTGCATACAAATGAACACTAGCATGCTTTATCACGTATGGTAGGTCAAAGGTAAAAATAGAGAACAAAATGGGACCTAATATACTACCCTGTGGTACACCTCTTTTTATTAGCATAAAGTCAGAGATATTGTCCTGATCAACTTTCACCCTTTGCCTACGACCACACAAATAACTTTGAAACCAATGTAGGGTGAGTTGATCTAAACCGATGTAAGATAACTTGGCCAATAAGAGTTCGTCACTCACCAAATCGAACGCCTTGCTTTGATGATTAATTTTAGGGCACTACCAACATTTTGTTAATTAAGCAATTAAGCATTGCAATCGAAGTCAGTTTTAGTCTATCCTTTTAAGCAATTGCAGCAACAGTATTTTATAAGATATAATATGATCTGTGTATTTTTTCAGCGTTACGGTCTTCTGGGCTTTTCGATTCTTAATAAAGCAACTCGCACTCAGACACCACCAAATAGGATGTCATCATTTGAAGCTCATAGATAATTTTCTTTGCCATAATTGACCCATTTCCTAAATGTCTAGGTATTGCTATGTGCAATGGCAACCTCAATTAAATTGATATACTAACAACTAGGGCACGTCCAGCCTCCGGCAAGACGAAAATCTCAATATTGAATTAAATTTTAAGAATTTTAGAAATTCAACAATCTTATCTGCCTGCAAAATTCCAAACCATTAATTAACAAATTTTTTAATAAACAGCTGATGTCATTCTGGGCATGAAAAAAAAATGAGAACTCTTATCTGGGTTGTAACTTGGGCTCGATTAATCACCAACCATTTGCATATGAAGCAAATTTATTTGACATAAAACAATCAATGCTAAGGCCCGTACGTGGGTTTTATTAAAAAGCGAAAGCAATTGAAATGGACTGTAATTAAAATTAGCTTATGCTTGATGTGACATATAGCTCCCTGATTTTTCTTTACCCACTTGATATATTCAATTATATTGTTTTTTTGTTGCACGTAAACAATCAAACTGAAAGAAAAATTGGTAGGTACCCAGCACGCAACAAGTGTTCGATAGAACAATTAATTTATTATAGAAATCTTAATTCAATAATCAAAAATCTACGGTAATAACTGCGATTTTCAAACAAATACGCACAGACAGACACAAAATTTTAATACTTTAGAACTTCATTGCTTTGATTTCACTCAAACAATTTAATCAACACTCCCTGCGTTATAATTACCAATGTTCTTTAATGGTGGACAAACCTTCTCTTAAGCGACAAATCAATAGACACAAGCAAGATACTGATAAATCTCTTAATACTCGATAACGCACGATAAACGGCAAAACTGACTGTTTGCGAAAAGTAATAAATACGTTCAAATACCACTGCGTTTTAATTTGATTCACGTCTTCCACCAAATAGAAGCCACAATCAAACAAACGCTTGACCATCAAAAAGCAAAAGGTAACAAACAAAATGCTTCGATTAACGTCCTTCACTTCTATTTAACAATTCTTTCCTTTCCTCATTTCTGTTCCTCCTTCTTAACAAAATAACGCTCGTCTTCCAAAGATCAAACTGCACTTGTGTTTCTTTAATAGGCGATAACACGTCCTTATCTCGACATTTAATTAGCGTAGGCAGCGATGACAACTCTTTTCGCAACGACTGTCACTTCTCAATCAAAAGTTATAGAGTAGAAACCAATTTCGAAAGAAAATTCAAAGGGCTGTAACTTTTGTACTAGTAGCCCAATCTTCGAACTGTTTGAAATTATGGATTCTACAGGCCCCATTCTATAAGAAAATTTTTTTTTCGGGTCGAACTGAGACAATTTTTTTTTCGAGCCTCAAAAAAAGGCAGTGTATAACCTTCCTTTTTTACCAAAAATCGACTACACCAAAATTTCTCGGGAAAATACCTTTTCTTATTAATTTTGGGGCTCTATAAGAACATTATTTTTTTTACGGGTCGATCTGAGACACTTTTTTTTTCGGGCCTCAAAAAAAGGCAGTGTATAAGCTTCCTTTTTACCAAAAATCGACTACACCAAAAATTCTCGGGAAAACACTTTTCCTTATTAATTTTGGGGCGTAGAATCCAAAACAATTCGTACTTTTTCGATTGGACTTCTCAATCAAAAGTTATAGACTAGAAACCAATTTCGAAAGAAAATTCAAAGGGCTGTAACTTTTGAACTAGTAACCCAATCTTGGAACCGTTTGAAATTATGAATTCTACAGGCCCCATTCTATAAGAACATTTTTTTTCCGGGTCGATCTGAGACAATTTTTTTCTCGGGCCTCAAAAAAAGGCAGTGTATAACCTTCCTTTTTTACCAAAAATCGACTACACCAAAATTTCTTGGGAAAACACTTTTTCTTATTAATTTTGGTGCGTAGAATCCAAAACAATTCGTACTTTTTCGATCAGACTTCTCAATCAAAAGTTATAGACTAGAAACCAATTCGAAAGAAAATTCAAAGGGCTGTAACTTTTGAACTAGTAGCCCAATCTTGGAACTGTTTGAAATTATGGATTCTACAGGCCCCATTCTATAAGAAATTTTTTCTTCCCGGTCGATCTGAGACAATTTTTTTTTCGGAGCAGAAAAAATGGCAGTGTATAACCTTCCTTTTTTACCAAAAATCGACTACACCAAAAATTCTCGGGAAAACACTTTTCCTTATTAATTTTGGGGCGTAGAATCCAAAACAATTCGTACTTTTTCGATTGGACTTCTCAATCAAAAGTTATAGAGTGGAAACCAATTTCGAAAGAAAATTCAAAGGGCTGTAACTTTTGAACTAGTAGCCCAATCTTGGAACTGTTTGTAATTACGGATTCTACAGGCCCCATTCTATAAGAAAAATGTTTTCCGGGTCGATCTGAGACAATTTCTTTTTCGGGCCTCAAAAAAAGGCAGTGTATAACCTTCCTTTTTTACCAAAAACGACTACACGAAAATTTCTTGGGAAAACAACTTTCTTATTAATTTTGGGGCGTAGAATCCAAAACAATTCGTACTTTTTCGATTAGACTTCTCAATTAAAAGTTATGAAGTAGAAACCAATTTCGAAAGAAAATTCAAAGAGCTGTAACTTTTGAAGATAGGGCATCTTGGAACTGTGTGAAATTATGGATTCTACAGGACCCATTCTATAAGAACATTTTTTTTTCGGGTCGATCTGAGAATTTTTTTTTCGGGTCTCAAAAAAAGGCAGTGTATAACCCTCCTTTTTTACCAAAAATCGACTACACCAAAATTTCTCGGGAAAACACCTTTCTTATTAATTTTGGGGCGTAGAATCCAAAACAATTCGTACTTTTTCGATTAGACTTCGATTGGGAAGAAACTTTTATCAAAAGAGTGGACTTAACCTTTTTTGCACGTACTTTAGGTTTTAAAAATACAAGGCAATTATATTTCCCCAGATTTCCCTCCTTTTTAATACGCAATTGCACGTTTTATAATTAAATACACAAATTTGAATAAACAATTTACAAATAATACGCAATTACAAACAATTCTAAAAGAGAAAATAACACCGAAGCACAAATTTAAGTAAAATAAACCTACTTTTGTGCTTTATTCGTAAATAATCCCCCAGATTTACACATAATACATTAAAATATTCACAT